GCTGCTGCTGCTGCTGCTGCTGCTGCTGCTGCTGCTGCTGCTGCTGCAATTCATTGACACCAAGAAAAGTACCTGTTCACTTTCACGAGTGAAACCTTCCTTACAACCGTCAGGCTCACATGACACACGCCGGTCACCGTTGTTAGACAACAATAAAGTATGACTCTCGATTCTGGAAGACGGCGCTTTTCATTCCTGTCCTGCCATTGCACATTGAATCTCACGCAAGCCGACGCGGCTAGGAGCATGGCGGAAGCGGGATGGTTTGGGACGAACTCGCAGCCATTCGCCACCCTTTTCGCCATGGGTAGCCTCGATCAGGAGCATTTTCAAGTCCTGCACTACTCTACCCCTTGCCGTCTCTGGGTCAAGATCCTTTGGGTTCTGGGGCCGGAGTGCGTTTGGGGCGAGAGGCATTCGGAGTATACAACCTCCAACCCAAGGAGTGTCCCAGTTTGGGCACCAGACCACAGTTTCGGAACGCTACTAGGGGCTCCTGGCCTTACTACTAGGAACAAGGACGCTACTAGGAGCAAAGGGCATCGCTACGAACGGAACTCGGTCCATCACATGGAGAAACTCTGTCTTTCTCCCGGCTTTGTATCAGCGGCGCACGAGAATGGCTCTGTTTAACCGGATTCCATCTAAAACCCTCTGAAAGATTCTGAAAGAACGAAAGAATTGACTCACACCGGTGGCTTCCGGAGTTTTACCTTTTGAGCCATTGGCTGGGTGTGTATTTGTATACTAAACAAATATATATATATATATATTAAAACATATTAAAACAGATAGGCCCCCAACCACTGTTGGTCTATTTCCTTCTTCCGAGTCGTCTTTGTCTCCCTATATTTCAATACACACTCATATCCACCTCCCTCTCCCACCAGACCTCATGATTACCCGACACCCTGCAAACCAAGCACCCGCACCACCAAGGAGTTCCGCAAAATGGTGTTTGGGCGGACACCGCGGCTTACTGCCTCATCAAACACCTCCCAGGCCTTGGGAGGCGAAGTCTGGTTGCTTCAAGAAATTGATGAAAGCTGAGAATCGCAGTCTTGGAGTGGAGGAAGAACAATTCTCCTAGGGTTGATGTTGGGGTCCTACAAAACTTCTTGGTTGAAACGCGCCTGAATGAACATGAAAGGGGTTCTTTCAATCCAGTTGAAAATCTGATTTGCTACAGATATCAAAGGACAATAGTAACAGTATGTCATATACATCTTTTATGGCGTCAGTTGGGGTTAAACCCTCTCACAACCTCAAGGATGTAACATCCAGCACATCCCGTCCTCCCGAACCTCCTGCAAACCAAAAACGGGGTGCCTTCCTCCACACACCAGCTCTGCTGCACATGGTGACCTTGCGACGAATCAGGCTCAGCCCAAGAGATCTGGACCACGTTCCGTCTGGCATCGTTTCGGTGCGAAGGTCGTCTTTCACCCGAATTCCGGGAGAATTGCTGCGAAGCCTTCAGAGTCCTTCCCACCCGGGAACCGAACTCCTTGCACTCCGACTGCTTGGCACACACGTCGGGTCGCGGGTCGGGTCGGCGATCGGTCGTCGATCGGTCGCCTTGGACGTGCGAACGGGACGAAACCGCGGAAAAAGGGATGGAAAAAATGAACCTTCCCAGGCTACAGGATGAACAGATCACGGGGAACATACCAATCACCCAAAAACCAGGAAGCAGGTGTTCTCAGGCCGGGAAGGAGGAACGAAATCAGGCACGCGACTTCTCCGAAGTCTTGTTGATCAGGGATGAAAAGGTGCCAGGTGGAAATCTTATCATTTGGAAGTGGAGGCGATTTGCCAGGGCTTCTTGATGACTTATACCTTCTTGGAAGGGTGTCCAGGGTGGAGGCCTGCTTGAGATTATTGTTTAACTCAAGTAAAATCTTGTCATATAGTCCTTGTGTCCCAAAATTGCCTTTGTTGCTGTGAGATACTGGCAGGATTGAATGAATGTTTTGCCGTTTTGCCCATCTCCATCAACCTCTGCAGTTGCCCATCTGAAAATTATTCCATCAACAACTGCGGAGAACTCGTGTCCCATGTGATCTGAAACTATCCATTTGGAGCCCGGGGTGCTCAGGTTCAAAGCTCCTCATGACATCTCATGACCTGCATGCACTCAACCACTAGGGAACCTTCCAAGAAACCTTACAAAAGTTACTACTTGTTACTTATCCTAGCCGCTAGCCGAAACACAAACGGTCTCCTGCCTTTCTCCGGATAAGGCGCTGGCCGCTTCAGTGTAGCCCCCCTTCTCGAGCGTAATCCCGCTGCAGGCAGCAGCAAGGAGAAAACTCAGCGCCTCAAAGCGGCACACTCCGGCACACTCCGTGGGCCGCGAATAAAACAAAAAAAGCGCCGGTGGAAGCTGCGCAGGCTGTATGACTTCTATCACGACGTGGTGAAGCGATCTCCTATCAACAGCATAAGATTTATCACGCGTGCGGCGTGAATGGATCATGGATCCTATAGTCAGATCGTCAGATCGTCGGGTGTTTTCCCCGAAACAATAAACCCATGAGACCCAAGAATCAGCCATCAGCTCCGACCCTGAACGGAGGACCCGTAAAACGGCGTGGGTGATTCGTGACAGCGACCAGAGTCGGCTTCCGGCGAAAAGGCTTAAAGAAGAATCAAGCAGAGGATCTCCAATTCAAGAAGACTCAAATGCAGTGGTTCAGTGGACATGTGAAGACCAGAAACTAATGATGATCTTCAAGCCGATTTTCCTGACTTTTTTCTGTCATAAGTGGCTTGGACTGGCTACGGGGATGATGGAATCCTTGTCGTTCACACGCCAAAACGAACACGCACCTGTGGCCACTGATCCCGCTGTCGCTTGCAAGAGCTCAGTGCCTGAAGTGCGGGAATCAAGTAAATCAAATGATCGTCGACATTGTAAACATTGTAAGAGCTCTGTACACCATCATTGGATATATCATTGCTATGTCAATGTCTATGTCTCTATCCGCTCAGGCGGATCGTATCCATTTGCTCCAACCTAATAGCATCCTAGCTACTGTAGCTTCTTGTTCCTAGTAGCCATGGCCTCCAACCAACAAGTGCGTCCGACTGCATTCGTAGCTTCGCTTCTGTGACCGAAGCTAGGGAGGGCTCTCGATTCGGCCGAAACGGGATCGACCTGAAGGGATCGACCTCTGAGACCTCGACGTTGAAGTAGATGAAGTGGTCAGCCCTCGAGAGAGCGCGAGACGAGCCGTCCGACGGTGGTAGCGTCCGACGCGCGCGTGACCTACCGCGGAGCGGGGGGTTCGAGCGTGAACGAGCGGCTCTGCGCGTGCGCGTGGAGGTTGAAAGGTGGGAAAACAAGGAGACAAATCCTGCGTTTGGGTCTACTTGCTGACCATCCCGGTTTTATAATGTTTTATATACCGACATGGACCGAGTCAATCACCGCTTTTGGGATTGAAGAAGTTGGCCTGGAGCTGGTCCCCCCCTAAATGGAAGTTGCACCGTGGTGGACCGTTCAGCAAAAGAAGGTTCTAAGTTGCTTGAAAGTGTCTGAGGTGTGGTTCCTTTGGTTGGTTGTTGCTTGAAGCTCAAAGCAAATTTGCTTTGCCGGGTGCGAAAAGCATCGAAATGAAAGCAAACCGTTGGGTTTTTCTTTGAGTCTCTTTGGTTCAGTTTGTGTGTCCCTTCTGGATCCTCCTTGGCTGGCTCATAGATCCCTTTTCCACATTTGGATGCGATGAAAGTTGGCGGTTGGACCCGGGGGAGACCCGCAGATGGCACAATCCCCCCCAACAGGGTTTTGGTAGAAAGACATCTTGGGGGTTCTTGGGGTTTGTGCCATGTACTCTGAAACCACTTCAGATCAAACCCATCCAAACCCCAGCTCTCTATTTGGAGTGGTCTTTTGTGTGCCAGCGAGGTGGTTGGAGGACTATGCCAGCTCGAAAACGCTGCACGGGAGACCTTTTCTGCAATGCTCCACGTCTCAGCTTCCGCGCTAATATCTCAACTAGCAGGATCAAATATTTGCACCACGTGATTGCTTGCAGCGACTATTGCATGTCAACTTGAACTTGGCCTCTCTGCCATGCAAACGGTCCTTCAAGCCTATAAAGTTCATCTAAAGCATAACAGCCTCGGGGTGCACTTTCAATAAAGCTGCCAAGCAATACAATGCCCTGTCATGCCGCATCTCAGCAAAACCGCCTATTTCCTCGTGGCTGCCTTGGTGGCGGTCGCAGCGTTTCGGTCGTCGCGGTCGTGCGGAGTCCTCTCGGCGTCCTCGCGGCAGCTATGCTAGGCGTTTGTCCACCACATCTAAGACCCGAACACCCCGAACAGCCCAACGACTGTACTATTCAGATCGTTCCGGGCCCGTGGGAACCTCCCGGGAAAAAGAACGAGCGTCCTCTTCGTCCCGGACTTGGGACGCACCGTTGATTGGTTGGATGGAAAGATCCAACTTTCCAACAGCCTCATTCTATGTTCCGAATACCACACAGGTTGTGCCATCCACTTCCATGATTATTGGTGGGGATGGCGGGACTCATAGAGAAACCTCCGCCCACGAAAAGAGCGTGTCACTTCCATGTTCCCTCGGTGATCGCTGCGCGTCTGTGTGTCTCACATCGCCCCCAAAACCAGGGTTCATCCCCTACAAACCTCTGGTCAGGTTTGCTCCGCGTCCACTCATCCAGACCAAGCTGTGCATCTCACTTCCAGGCCGATGCCGCCCAGGTGCTGCTGCAGTGCGTGCCCTCTGGGCCAGGCCCTTTGCACGGCCCTTGCCTCCAGGCCCATAAACCCCACGGCCCGCGCCACGGCCCTGGCGTTGGAAAAGGATGTCTGCGGCACAGGACTGGAGGTTGAGCTTAAGTCTGTTACACTGACATAACAGTGAACAGTCAGCTCCACTGACATAACACTGACATAACTTAAGTCAGCTCCACTGACTTTGAGTCTGTTACTGGAGGTTGAGCTCAAGCAAAAGCAACTCAAAGAAAGTCTCGATTCTTTGGGGACTCTAAGTCTGCTGACAATCGATTTGACATCCGCCTATGTGGCCTTCGGGGAAAACCTCTCCACTATGTCTTCCTAGCATCATTACATTACATATGATGGGTGACTAAAGTCTCATCAATCTTCCAAATCAACCAGTTTGGTGGGAATTACAACATTCTGAGGCAAAGCGAAAAGGAACCTAGGACGAGTTGTGCTAGGAGAAGCTACAACGAGGGGATCCATGGCAAATGGAGGGAAGTTCTCGTTCTCAAAAACATGCAGGATGGACAATCCATGACTAGCCATTACTGTGTTGTCCTTTCGTCGAAACGTTAAGTTGATGGTGTGTTGGCTGACTTGAAATCTCCATATAGATTTGGCTCAAAGGGTCATCTCAAAGCTAGGTAATTACCAGAGGATACCAGAGGGGACAATATCGATGATCACACGAAAGCTCAGGGTCAGCACCAGATTCATTCATTTTGAGGTCCCCCCATCCAAAACTCGTTGCGCAAGACTTGTTCGATGGCTTTCAGTTTCCCAGTCTATCGTCTCGTTTTCCCTGGCCTTCTTCTTGAACATCGGCGCATGTCGCAGCATGTCTGGAAGAATGAAATATCGGATCTGTGATCCTCTCAAGTAGACCTGAACCGGACTCGAACGCGGCCAACGGCAGAAACGTGTTCGGCACCGCACGGCACGGTTCCACCCACGTCTTGGCCCAGCGCGTTTGTTGAAAACGGATTCGCCCCCCGAAGCGGAGGATGGAAAGAAGGAGGAGGATGGAGAAGCCAGGCAGTTCCCAGTTGCAGCTTCCAGCAGATTCCCCTCAATGTGTTCAGTTGCGCTTTGGGAGTTTCCAAAGAAAAAAGCTCGCCAGGCTCGCCTGCTCCAGGTTGGTGACCTTGCCATCTCGACCCGTCACGGTCACACCTTCCAACATGGCATTCATATTGTCCTCGCGCGCTGAAGAGGAGCGCGTGACCGCGCTTTTTGACGCGCCGTGAAAGGCGGGTGTGAGATATGCGCAGCTACTGGATGCCAATGACAAGGTGAGTTGACTGCCCTGAGGCTCAAATGTGGCCTGGTAATTTTAGCAACGTTTGGGACCATTCTTCAGCAAAACTTACCCGGCACTCGTCCTCGCAATTCATCAAGTGCCCTCGGTACATCTCGCCTGTCTTCAATTCACCTGAGTGTGTTGAGACTTGAGACCCAAAACATCATCATTCCAGCTCCATGTTTGTTGAGTTTTCTCCCTTCATCTTACATCTTTTCCACCAGGTTTTGGGTCCCATCTTCGACCTTCACCGCTTTGCGGTCCTGGACCCGTGTATGTTCGATCTTCCAGGTGCGAAGTGGACGCAACGCCAGAAAAGCAACCGGCTGGAATGCCCGGTCCAACACCGGCACCGGCAGAATAAGAAAACAAATGTGTCTTAATGCAAGCCTGGTGCTTGGGCAAATTTGCTCGAATTGGCCCGTGGTAATGGTCCACAAATGCCCACGGTACTTAGGTCCGCTACTTCTAAGACTTTTGAATTCCCAATCTGCAAGGCGTTTAAACACGGAAGCCGTAAGGATATGTTCGAATTGCGGCCCTCAAAAACTTCCGCAAAATGCCGCTGTCTATGGAAGGTTATGTGCTTCTCATCAGCCAGTTGGATTTGTCTTTACAACTACTAACCCTTTTTATTTGTCAGGACCTTCCATAAGTCCCCATGTCAAAAAACCCTTCCCCAAACCTGCCGTTCCACCCCACCTGTGACCTGCCGTGGCCCACAGGAACGCCTCGCCTCGCGCATCTGCCAAAGGCACAGGTCACCGTGTGGCCAATGCCCTCGTGGAGCAGCTTCACTGGGATTCCCAAGCCCGCCTCATGGACGTCTGAAGGCAAGTCGGCACTTCCCAACGATCCCACGACCCCCACGACCCGGTAACAACTGTTGAAAGCCAAAAGAGAACACCGCAGAAAGATGAACCCTTCACCGCTTAAACGTTCGAGAAGATCAACCTTCAGGAACCCGAGAAACGATCCATGATTATGGCTGGACAACGGCGAACCGGTGCCCTTTCCAAGCGTCGACAGACTGACGAGGGGTGACAGACTTTGTAGGCACCTCGCATCACCTAGCTGACATGCAAGGTCCATCAGTATAACAGATTATAACTGTACATGATGAGGAGTGGAAGCTACACTCCTATTCACTTCAATGCATTCATGAGAGGGATGTTGCAAAGTTTTGAACTGTTCCTCGATGAACATGGGATTGGACTGGTGAGCAGCCATGCAGTTCTTTTTTCATGCGGGTACCGCATGCCCCATCAGAGCCTATAGTATTGTCAATCCGATTCGGAAGCCCCAAGTTGTGAGCATGTCACAGACGCACAGAAGCACCGGTCCGGATCATTGATGATACCTTTGACACCCAATTCGTCCAGCAAAAAGAACTGAGGCCAAGCACCATCCGCGTTATCTCGCACCGATCCTGCACCGAATGATCCTCTACAAATGGCCGCGGCGGAGCGGGCGTATCGAAACTCGCACCGATCCTCCAATGGGGTGCACGCGCCGCCGCAAGTGGCTGAAGGCTCAAGCCATGGTGGCTGTGAAGGGGGGTTCGGGCACCGATCGGAGTGCACCACAGAAACAGTCGAACATTCTGATGTGCTGCCGATAGATCCCCTGGCAGAATGGCCTGCTAGACGTCTATCATCAGCCAGTTCACACCGTTTCCGTTGCGTGGCTTGATCATCCCAACACAAATGTGTTGTCTTTGTGCCATTCACCTCAGTAGCGCTGGGTCTGCGGCTCAATCTCACTCTTGACCATCTCAGCCAGCATCAAAAGTACCTCTCAAGGTAAAATCTGTGATGAGGATTGACATGGATTGATACTGGAAGACCCATAAAAGAAATCCCATGCCTCACAACAAGCCGCAACCCCCTCAAAGATCAGATGTTCTATTTCCCCCCCTACCTTCTGGGTCTCGGTGTCGCAGCTTGGAAGGCTCATGGGGACAAACCAAGACTCTCCGAGGGTTCGACCTGCGAATCTTTGCACTAAAGTAGTGGGATATCCAGTTTGTGAATGTCGAACTGGACGAACCTGCAACTTCTCCCTCTGTGCCGACACCACTGTTCAACAGTAGGCTGGCGACATTCAGACTGAGAGTCTGTAAGTCCCCCAACTAGGTTCCAGTTCTTTGCCCCTCCTCGGTTTCAGATGATTTTCCGAGCTCTGAATGAACCATCCCGGCGCTTGCCCCCAGCCTGCTTCGATTTGCCTGCACGGGCACATGCACCTTGGCAAAACACAAAAATTGCACCGGCGTAGACCCCAGATACAGTAAGTCAAAAATCCATGAGAACTCTTCCAGTGACCGCGAGTGAGTGAGCCCAACAAAACGCCAATCAGACAGGCAAACAAGTAGTGCGTCGCGCGTGAAATATAACATGTTATATGCCTTGCCCCAATGGAAAAATATGATAAACAGTATGCGCACAAACAGCACAACATAATGTTGCGCGTAAACATATTATGATGATAACGTACAAAACTATATAATCAAAAGTATATGCGCGCACAGTACAGTTCCTAGGTTTCTCAAGCGTCGCGTGCAAGCCTTCAAACATAGCAAGGCAGCGCAAAGCCAGACTATTCGATACACAACACGGCACTACTCTGGAGGTCCCCACGTTCTCAAGCAGCCTTTTGATCAGACTCACGATTCAAGCTTTTAAAGATGCTGCTCCGGCATATGTATTGCCCAATCAAACAATATGATGGTGCGCATTGTTGTGGATAATATGCATACAATAAGTATGTTTCGGGCAAGCAGTGGAATAGACTGTTGCACATATAAATATGCTCACAAACAGTGCAGTTCCCAGGCTTCTCAGGCAGCAGTACCCAGCACTGTTCAGCCCTGTTCAGGCTGTGCACATGCACAGACCACACCACCACCGGTTCTCCGTGCACGGCGTGCACAGGCAGCACCAGCACAGACACCCTGTCTCCACAACGCACAGCCAGCTTACAGCCAGCTCACAGCACTGACAGCACCCTGTCTCTACAAACGCGTGCAGCCAGCTAACAGCACTGGCACCAGCATGATGCACGCTTTCGAGACACGCTGCCGTTGCTGGTGCCGTGCTGGGTGCCGTTGCTGTGGTCGTGGAGACAGGGTGCCGGTGCTGGGCAGCTCATTCGTGTTTGAAGTAGGAACCCCGTAGCTATCACGGAGAATTGGACATGTTGCTGTCCGTGTCGAGCAGAACGTTTTTGATGCAATGAACGACACTCTTGCTGATCAGGAAAGGCAGGAAAAGCTTTTGATAACCGGATAATCTGGCAAATCAATCTATGAAAATCTATGAACAACAAGTGTATCTCATGCGTTCAAGGAGCCGATGGCACAGTTGAAGGTGATAACATTCCTTGGGAATGAGCGAAAACGATCAAAGCAACCAAACCTCCTACCCTTCCATCTTCCATGTGACCGCAAACAAACGAACTGCTTCCACTGGATCTAGTATGGCTGCTACTTCTACTGTGGTCGTTCTCATGAACGCGGTTGCTCCCTCCGGTTGTGCCACCGCTAGCGCCCTCCTGAGCATCCCTCAACTCCAGATTGTTTTCTTTCGCGTCGAAGAGCCTCTGCAAGGCCTGGAACTACGGTCGAGACCGGTGGAATTGGCCAGCTGACAGATGCAAATTTCTTCGCAGCGAGGCTGGGCCGCTGGGAAACATGGTTTTAAGGCCAGGGAAGCTGATACCTTAAAAGACTTGAGCCACAGCGGCATTCCCAACCAGACTTTGACGGTTTGGCACCCCCAAAGTCTGCTTTCCCCACTCTTTCTCTCTCTCGAGATTGTCAATGCACCTCAACACCTCAAACTACGCTGTCCTTGCGCTTCACCCTGAACACGGTCAAGTGGAGGAAATGGTCTGAGGTGAGGTGGTGGCTGCACCATATATATAATATAATATAATATAATATAATATAATATAATATAATATAATATATATATATGTGTATATTCTCTAGTGTTTAACCTGCACCACGGTGGCGCTTTTGACGAATTGATAAGGCAAATGGTCGTAGAGTGTTGCGCATCTTTGCGCCATGATCGAGAGCGATCCAGCGAACTTGCTTGACCCGTTGCGTGGGAGAATCACGAAGAGGTCCAGCGGCAACTATATCATCTAATTACATACCCGGCCACAAGGAGCTGGAATGATGCAAACCACCGGAAAAAAGAAAAAGAAAACGGCGCGTTCTCCTTTGATTCTGGAGCTCACGAACGCGTTTCGAAAATAAAACGTTCATTCATCGTCTGAATCTCCCTTGTTTCACCGATCGCCCAGTTGCAAGGAAGATGTTTCACCGAGGGTGGACACCGCCGAGGGTGGCAGCGCTTGAAGGCACCCATGTCTGCTAGCGCTGCTAGCATCCCTATGTCTTCAACGTTGAAGGGGATCCCGGGGCTTACCAGCTCTCAACCGCGCAGTCCGTTGATGAAAGCAGAAAGCTTCTGATCTGCAAAACCCGCATTTGTTTTTAAGAGTTTCAATAGCAATCTGGATCAAATAATCACCTACTAACTATATAAGTATGACTAAGTAATCATTGTAAGACGATTGATCGAATAGAAATCAATAGAGATCATGTCTTAACTCAAGTTTTTGCAAGGGTCTTGGACTCTTGGCCCCGCAAAAGAGACAGTAGATTTACCCATTCCCAATTGAGGGGAGTCAACAAATTCAGTCAACACTGGTGTTGCATCCTAATTAGTAAAATGGGTGGGTGGGAATAAAAAAAAGTGCTCGCCAAACTATTCACACACCCTGAATAGTCTAATGGGTAAGAATAGTTAAACGGTTTTGTCGCCCAGAGTGTCTACTTTTCTATTGTTCTGCTATTGCTGCCCTTTAAAATCCTTACTGAACTCTCCCGAAGTTTGCTTGATTCATGGAATTCTGACCTGGAAATCGTTTTCAAAATCGCTTATTGAAACTCAACGATGTCATTGCCCAAACGAGTGTTCAAGGGGGAAGTGAATAATCAGAATTGTTTAGGGGTGGGATCCATAAGTAAACTATTGTTGCTGCCCTTTAAAATCCTTGCTTAACTCTTCTGAGATTTGCTTGCTTCATGGAATTCTGACCTGGAAACGTTTCAAAAACGCTTGTGAAAACTCACGATTTCATTGCTCCAAATTATGTTTCAAGCTGGTAGTGCACAAGCCCAGGGCAAGTGAATAGAACGACTTGTTTAGGGGTTGGATATAATTTTTATTTAAAAAAAATGGTGTTTGCCTTCGGAAAAATATTCACGACTCCTACTACTACTACTACTACTACTACTACTACTACTACTACTACTACTACTACTACTACTACTACTACTACTACTACT